TGAGTATAACTCAATTTAGATAATACACTAACTCACGTGCAATTAAACGTTCGGTGTGGTGTTACATGAAGTGTAATTTTATAAAGTGCGACCTTTTAAAGTGTTTTATAACAGAAGATCGTTTTACGAATTGTACGGTTTTAATAGACAGACTAATTAATTAATGATTTTGCCACTGATTTTGACCTCTTTGAGGTCAAAACGCGTTTGGCACAAAGTGTTATTTAATGTGTAAACAGTTTTCTTTTGTACGCGTGATTTTATATATCAATACACTTCACGGAATGCAAGGTTTTAAGATAAAGGACAGTAATCTTCGCGGACCGTTGACAGATTTCAAATTGACCACAGTTTGAAAAACATAACTACTGACCGAGGACAACGACACAGATTAGTTAAAAAAAAACATTAAAATCTCACATCGCTTTGACTTTCAGTTAAAAGCCTGTCGCGTATTAGAAGACTGAGCAAAGTGTATTATAGAGTTTGTGGATTCGGCGGTGGAGGCCATAAGTTGAATGAGTGACTGTTGCTGAGTACTACCAGTGAGGGGCCATCTGACAGGACGCGGATGATCATCCAGGAAAATCCGATGCTGGTCTGGGATACGAAAAGGAGGAAGGAAGCGAGGACAATTCAGGCAAGGAACGAGACAGAAGACGTGATAAATGATCAGGAGGTAGCCACGAGAGGAGTATAGCAGATGGAGGAATATTCGCTGGTTTTGCTACAGGTAAATTGGAGGAGTATCCTTAATAAGTTTTTGGATTTTTTGAATTTAGTTGACACATAAAATCCGGATTTGTAATACGCACGGAGTCATGGCTTAGAGAGGAAATTAGCAATGCCGAAGTATTTAGGGACGATTACACAACCTTTAGGAGAGATAGGAATACACGAGGTGACGGAGTGTTCATTTGTGTAAAAAATTACATAGCTTGCGCGGAACTATGGGTGAACGAGGATTATGAGATGTTAGCAGTTGAAGCGAAAGGCAGGGACCCTAAATTCACATGGGATATTATAGGCATCTACAGGGCTCCGAACGAGGACATGCGAGTTATAGAAACATTGACAGCCAGAACCAGTTATTTAGGAAATTCTACGAAGCGTAGCGTCATTGGAGGTGACTTAAATTTGCCCTATGCAGATTGGAATGGAAACGTTGTATGAACTAGTGGAAATCAAGCATTTATAAATAGGCTGGTATGAAAAAATTGTTACACGCAGGTAGAAGATAGGCTAACCCAGAGGGGATGCATTGCTGGATGTTTACGTTGTCCGGCCACAAAGTTCGTTCAATCTCTTGCAGCATTGTAGAGGGGATCAGTGACCACTGTGGGGTATTATTAGAAGTGGAATGAGAAGAAAATTGCTGCGAACCTCAGGTAGAAAGAAGTGTCCCGGTGTACCATAAAACAAATATTTTAGGATTACAAACCTTCTTCAGGGATAAATTCGCAATTTGGGCAAGTAATGGGAAATGTGTCGAGGAGGTATGGGATAATTTCAAGAATATAATATTCGAGAGTATCCAACGTTTTGTGCCACATAAAATACTGAGGAAAAATTCGGACCCAGAATAATACAATAAGGAGGTGAAATGGTTAAAGACAAAGGTCAAAAAAGCATATAACAGCAGAAGAGGAACTGAAACGTCTATCAAAGCAGTTGCTATTAGCTAAACATAATGTGCAGTAAACATTTTTACGGTCAATATTAAGAAATGAAGGTAAATGCTGGACCGATTTCTACAAGTATGTAAAACGACGTAAAGGAAACAGGGAAAATATTCCGGCGATCAAGGATGGTAATGGACGGC